TGATACAAAACAGAAAAGCCCCTCCTCTCCAATCCTCATATCGCTCATTCGTCATCCTCAAAATTTTCATCGTCACTGTTATCATCCTCACCTTCGTTGTCATTTTCATCATCGTCTTCTCTTTCCTTTCCGCCTTCTCCTTCCCTTTCGCCTTCGCCTTCTTCATCTCGTTCGTGTCTCTCATTGTCCACGCCCTCATTGTCGATTCTCTCATTCTGCGTAGCGTCATCATCGCCAGCAGTGGCTGCCCATTGAGCGTGTTGCTCTGGCGCCATTGGCGCCGTAAGAACCTCCGCTTGTATGAGTTGGATCGGAGGTACCGGTACATAATTCATACCCATAATCGTATCATGGTAGCTGTAGCGGGGTCTTACCACGAGAAGAACCTGAGCACCATGGTGGGACTCAGAGCCAGCATGGAAATGATGGGTTACCATAGTATCCGAATGGTGATCAAACTTGGCAAGCTCAGGCAGTCGCTCAACCACTAAATTGCCAAAGACACTAGCTTGACCAGCAATAAACTCCTGGGCCGCAAACTCTAGAATCATGTGGAGTTTGTCATCGCGGAATGTCTGGAGCGACTCGCTCAGCGATTCTTTGAGTAGGAGTCGAAACAGTCGGCACCCCCACAGCTCGTCCACATACGACTTCACGAGTGCTTTGCGATGTTCATGCATCGGTTGGCCGAGTGCTGAGTATCGGGGACCATCCACAAACAGGATTGCTGCGGTGCAGATGCTCACGAGAGTTGACTTCCACCATGCTGCGTTTGTGGGCAATACTATGTAAATGCTAAGTGTTAGTGATTTTCAAACTATCCAGTAGCGAGGAAGAGGGGAGAAAACAGGGCTGAGACGGACATACTTTCTTTGAACCTCTGGTATATATAGTCAAGTCTCTTAATGAAGTTGACATCCCCGGGCTGGTCCGTTGCATCCATCTTGGCATCCATAAACCAAAAGGGGGAGGTGGCAAACTTTTTGTAAATGAATTGATTGAGCATGGTCTCTAGCAAAACTTTTCCAAACATAGAGCGAGCGGCAGGAGGAAGAGAGGAATGAATCTTGTCCCAGTCCTCTTGGACACAGAATCCATCTAGGCTGGCGATAATAGCCTGTTTGTCATCACTGGAGAGATGAAGCATCGAATCTTCTTCACCAAAGCGCCAAGCCCAACTGTGAACCTCCATTTCAATCTTAATGAATCCCTTTTGGAGATCTGCTGGTGAAGACAACCTGTGCGGTCCAGCCATAAAGGCCATGGACCAATAATGTTCAATCATCTCATTATACTCCTGTCTCTGACAGAGGTACTTTGCAGTGGGTAACAAAGCTGGACCCCCGTCGTTCCATATGTCCGGTATAGATCCCTCCTCCAAGTCTAACATAGCTTCCTTCTCCATGGCCAACTTAGATTCTTCTTCAAAATCCGACCAAGTGCGCTTGAGCCGTTTATGTTGGTTCTGGGGGCTGGTCATAATGAAGATGAGTAGCGTGACGAAAGGGCCAAATAGAATCAGTAATCTTGGTTTGGAGTCTATTCAGGAGATGTTGAGAGGAGGTGTCGCAGATTTGGGAGAGAGTGTGGATACGGAGGAAGATGATGGGAATCGAGAGAGAGAGAGAGAGAGAGAGAGAGAGAGAGAGAGAGAGAGAGAGAGAGAGAGGAAAATCGGGCAAGATAAACGGGGGGATAGATGACCAAAAGTCTATTTCTTCCATCATTCATTCATTCATTCATCCGTTCATTCATTCATCCGTTCATTCATTCAGTCAGTTCCCTGGCTGCTCATTGGCTCTTAGGGCTACCCGGCTCTTTGTGTGATGTGAGGCATCAACCCATCCGCAAATCTAGCCCGTGTGAGGGTTTCAGCCGCAACAAACCTTCTCGGATGCCATGCAATTGACTGGTAGACCAGTTAAGACAGGGGGAGGGACCCGTATGTGTGTGAGCGTGACAGAGAGAGACACGGCCAGGTCATGAGATGAACATGTGAACTGGACGCCATTCTGGTGCAGCTCAAAGATAGTATCATAGTTTGTAATATATCTGTAGTAGAATAAATAGTAACAGTGAAGTAGCATATCGACAAACATAAATAGAGCCAGCTGGTCGCACTTCCCTTTGCATTTCCTCAATTTTAATCTAGTATCGTCATCAATCTCCACTGCATATGCATTCAGCTGGTCTTGAATACATCCTTGATTTTTTTAACAGCATCACCTCACAAATCTTCAAACACTTTGTCCCCCGCCTCTATCCACCATGGAACAGAACCAGTACTTCATTTCCGTGGATTTCGGGGCGTATAAAACAGGCAAGTTCCTTGTTCCCTCCTATTCCTTATCGAATCCCTTTTTTTGTCTCTCTGTCTCTTTGTTTCTCTGCTTTTTTTATCTTTCTGTTTTTCTACTAGTTCATCTTTCTATCTTTCTGTTTTTCTGTTTTATCTGTCTCTCTACCTCTCTGCTTCTGCCTTATTTTCTATTTCTCTCTCTCTCTCTCTCTCTCTCTCTCTCTCTCTCTCTGTGTGTGTGTGTGTGTGATTCTCGCTAACATAAACATACTTTACAGTCCTTACAATCCTGACTACCCTGGGCGTCCTGACGACATGGGCTACTCATGGCGCTAATGACGGTATAATCCTTTCGATCTTCAAATACAACAGCAATGGTCAGATCATGTGGGGGAGGAGTGCCGCGGCATCCCGCGGCAGAGAGCCGTATGTTTGGGTAAAACTCATGCTGGATGGGTCCCCAGACGTGGCCACACAACGCCATAATCTGAGAGACCTCCTCGGCGGCACAGTGGAACTAAACGACATTGGCACCGGAAAAATCATTAGTGACTTTCTTCGAGACTTGCGGGACAGGCTATGGATGGACCTCAGAGAGCGTGGACCACAAATCCACTGGTGTTTCACCGAACCAGATTGCTGGTCAGACCGCGGCCGTCTGGAATTTCGGTCTGCAGTTGAGAGCGTTGGATGGTTTGGGAACAACCATCGCATTACCTATGCCTCTGAAGCTGTAGCTGCGGCTGTATGGGCTGCTGATGAGTACAGGAACGGAAATGACATGCGGGTGAGCAGCAGCAGCCAGCAGGAATCCTTTGGGTGCGTTTGGAATTAACAAGGTCGGATAACTAGGATGGTGACATACTTCTTGTGTGCGATTGCGGCGGCTCCACAATCGTAAGGCTTATCTTGGTCAAGGTCATTTAAGGTACCATCCAGCTGACACTCGATTAGGACACTGCCGTTTTACAAGTAAACGGCAACAATGGAGATCGTCCTTTCACCTTCCAACTCCTGGGGGATCCTACCAGTACGTACCACCGATTTGCCGAAGGCGGAGGCCTGCATATGGGTAGCTAATCCGTCTCAGGCATTCGATGTGGTGGATTTGATGTGGACTTGGAACTGGTGAAGCAACTTCGGGCTGCCCACCCGGACCTACCTCACGACTCTAGAGAGTGGGTAAGCGCTGCTCAGGCTCGGCAGTGTATCAGCTCTGTGAAAGAAGTATTCTCAGGCAGGACCGGGACTGAGGTGCACGCAATTCGGATTGAGCTGCGGGGAAACCGCAAAGTAGAGTATCGTTTCGACTACAATGCCCTGGTCCTTGCCTTCAAGCCGGTTGTGCAAGGGGTACTTCGGCAAATACATGCACGAATCACCGCCCCAGTAAATGCCAGAATTACGAAGGTGATCCTGGCAGGTGGGCTGGGCAAGTCGGCATACTTACGCCGTGAGGTCGAACAGGATCTTGCACGCGCTTACCCGAATGCCGGACCCAAGTTGCTGGGGGAACTGCAACACAGGTAAGCTGTCTTCACTCGAGACTTCTAGTAATCAATGAACTGCATGATTCTAACTTCTCTGGCAGTGTGCAGGCAGTTTCACGCGGTGCGGCACTGTGTGCGGCCAGGTTGCATGGAGTACAGGGCTTCCAAAGCAACACCACCATCCAATTGGTAGTCCCTTCTGTTGCACGGGTTGGAAATGAGCTGCGAGAACAATCCGTTGCTTTTGTAGGTATCCGACCAGTAAGTTGTCTAGACTTCCGCACCTCCTCCCCCCCCCCCCCCCCCCAAACAAAAGAAACAATTGCTTCGTCAGGAAACTTCCGCTAATCTGCGTGTTCTTTGAAGGGGCTCACTGGAGTGCAGGGCCAGTTCTCGGTCCGTATGCGGTTCTTGGTCACTGCGCCAGAGCAATACGTGAGTGTTTGTAGCCTACGGCAAGCACAAAGTTAGTAATTTCCTCTGCCCTGACTCCCTTAGTCACTTAGTTAACTAAGTCTGTCTATGTGACTAACACATAATTCTAGCACACCGCCTTGCCTTGCATAGGATCGTTGATCCTGCTCGTGACTCGGTGATGAATTTCGAGCTTGGTCAACAGGGCGGTCACGAGTATCTGTTCCGGGTGTACTGGAGAATCCAGCTGGGGACTTCCTTGTTCATGCACTGGAGAATCTGTCTTGATGACCCACGCAATCCGAACGGGCCTAACGCACCGGTGGTAGTGGTACACATGCTGCACCGGATTCCTCCACAAGACCTACAGCCCTTCCCGGCGGTTTGAGATCGTCAAAATGAGGGAATGGAGGTATCTATCTCTTCTGTCTCCCTCATGTCTCTCCCTACATCTCCTTTTCCTGATTATCCACACACTCTTTCACCCTATTACTCTCTTATTTCCTTTCCTTTCTTCCTCTCTTATACTCTTGTGGTTATTATTATTTCGGTTTTTCTAACTCCCTTACACACTCCCTTACACACTCTAATTATCCATTATCTCTAGCATTTCATATTTTCGCGCACCATAGACCATCATTGTTTCTGTTCACGGCACCAATAGACTGACTACAGCCGCACTTACTAATTATGGAGGAATATCTCAGATCGCGATACTATATAGTTGCTAGATAGACTAGAATGACCTTGCTGTTTTGATATTTGCTTACACTAAAAGGGCAGAGAGAAGAAATGGGGAGAGACGGACAACAGAAAGCCCATTTAAAAATGCTAATCCATCTTTCATGCATCAAACTTTTCCTTCACAGAAAGAACTCTTATAAACTACTCAATCAAACACCTTGAGCCCGAATCTGACTCCTCACCGACGCACACGATCTTCTCTTCTTCTCCAAAGACTCAAGTGCACCACTTCCCGTCGCTTGCCGCTTGCCCTGCGATGCTCCAAGAGGCCCGAACGTGCACTTGAGCTGGCGATTCAACATACCAGGAATGGACTTGCCGGCATCTTCACCGAATGCGCGGTCTCGATTAGAAGAAACGGTGGATTGACCATCCCGCAGAGAAAGTCTGATGGGGTCTCTAGCCAACGACGCCTCTCTGACCGCGACCACCTGGCCCTTCTGAGAGGGTTGAGACGATGACGGTGAGCTAGTTACCGGTGATGAACTCGAAACCTGCTGGGACGATGAGGAGTCATCTCTGTCCAACGCGCTGGAGAGTGCATCGCCGTAGAAGCCGTAGCTAAGCTGACCGGCAACTTCACCTTCCACAGCCCCCGTGACAGCTTCCTTGAAAGTCTCGAATCCCGTCTTTGCAGCCTCATTGACCGTATATGAGCCAGCTCGTCCGATGAAGCTCTTGAAGTTGGTGGCGAATTTGAGTCCAGAAGCTATAAACCGGCCACCAGCCTCGCCGAGCACACCACCAACCAAGCCGGCGAGCGCGTCGATTCCAACGGACTTCCATGTTGGCATTCGCCCTTCGATTAGGTCTTCTCCTACTCCGACTGCGACACTGGTTGCGACTCCGGCTGCGATTCCCACGCCGATCTCGATGGCCACACTTGCTCCGGCTGTGAGGACGCCGACTGCAACACTTACTACCACGCTGATCACGGTAGACACTAGATCTGCCCAGCTGAAATCGAAGAGCCCAAAGAAGCTCCACTGGCCGCTTGGGCCGATGCGGTTGATGGGGTCGCCCAGGCAGTAAGCGTAGCCGTTGACTTCACCTGTGCCGAACGGGCTACCGGGGTCGGGGACATGGTAGCGCATCAAGACGGGGTTGTAGACGCGGTATCCGTTACCGAGATGGTACCATCCTGTGACTGGATCACGCCACTGGCCATTGAAGCCTATGGAGAAGGCGGAATCGGGGGCGCTGAAGCCATAGGGCGTGTACTGCTGTTGCTGGATCTGATCTGGCTGTGCTGTGTCGAACCAGTTGAGCACAGAGCCATTAGCGTCAGATCCCCAGAGCTGAATCTCCGTAGAATCGCCGGTCTGAGTACTTTGTCCCAGGTATTCATTGCCAGCAGATATATAGCTGACTTGGCGGTCTCCAGACTTGACGCTGATTAGTTTGTCCTGTCGATAGAATAGCTGGGTGTATGGCTGGTCAGGGATTGACTGGGAAATCAGTCTACCAGCCGCGTCATATTTGTATTGACTGATTATGTTGCCACTGCTGTCTTTGACTGATTCCAGGCGGCCACCGCTGTCGTATTCCAAGGTACGGCCTTGCTCATCTTGGATGAGACATCCATTGGCATCATATACCAGAGTGATTTGAGGTGTGAAATCGGGATGGCTGTTTTCAATCTGGCTGAGCTGGGTTGGATCACTCTGACTGTATGAGTAGGTTGCCGTGTTTTGGGTGCCATCTTGAAAACCTGTTGTGACAGATGTTATGTTATCGAGGTTATCGAAGGTGAAATCCTGGGATTGGATCTCATGTCCCTTTTCATCTTTCGGAAGTTGACTTCCCTCGCATGTGTACTTGACCAAACGGTTGTGCTCGTCGTAGGCAAATGATTCATTTCGGACAATGTTCCCACTTTCTTCTACTTGCCGCGTGGTGACAAGACTCGTCTCGCCAAAGGACTGAGTTAGTCTAGACACCTGTTTCTCCCCTTGCAACACTGTGCGCTCAATCTCTCGACCGAAGTCATCGTAGACAAGGTTTGTGGTCAAGCTAGAGTCATGCTCTTGGTCTTGAACTGTTGTGCCGGACAGACGGTTGGCGCTGTCATAGAAATAAGAGACCGTGAGGGATCCTACAGTCAAGGCACTCAGGCGGCCTGCACTATTATATGTGTTCTGGTATTCCTTTCCATGGACGTCGGTATATCCTTGCAACTTCCCGGCCATCGAGTATGTCGACTGTGTAGAAAAGGATGCGGTACCTTCGCTGAGGTCGAGTGCTTCACTTTTCAGTAGACCTGACGGGAAGTATTGACGATCTGCGGTGCTGGATGAGCCTTCAGCTGTAATGCAACCCCCGTCTTTGAGTCATATTTGTATGTCTCATTTCTGTCCGGGCCACTGACCGTCGAGAGTGACTGAGGCAAACCCGGCTCGTATGTGAGCTTGAAGTCGCCCTTGTTCGTGGCAATCTGGGTCGGCTCTGGGGTGCTGCCCTGGTAGGATTGCGTCAGACTGCGCCCGCCGACTGTTCGCTGCGTCAATCGGTCCAATCCGTCGAAAGACTGTCCGCCAAGGTTTGTGTCGTTGACTTGGAGTGAGGTCGGGAGAGCTGCCGCGCTTTGGGTGGCATACTGGACGTTGACTTCCCGGCCGCTCACCCATGCGGTCTTAGTGACTCGGTCAAATGAGTCAGATTGGTATGTTGTCTTGCGACCCAAGGCATCTTCTTCTTCCACCAATCGTCCCAGGCCGTCATAGCTGTACGTGAGCTTGCTGTACTCGGTACCATCTTTACCCAGAAGGCGGATTTGAGTAGGCACGCCGGACAGATTGAGCTGCGTGACAGTTTGGCCTTCGCCCTCGATTCCTTCTGTTTGGCTCAGGCTGATAGGATCCGTTGCTGAGATCGTCGTGACGCCTGTGCTATTGTTTACCGTCTTCAGGACCTGACCCCAGTCGTCATACTGCAGTTCCTTGGTTATTCGTAGTTCCGTTGGATCGCTATCTTGGGTACGCAGCCAGTCAATGTCAGTTTGTTCAACATGTTGGCCCAGAGCATTGTAGTTGCGCTCCTGCAGTAAGCGAAAAGTGCCGGAGTATGTGTTAGTAGATGTATCCCACGAACCATCATCATCTTGTCTCTTCACTTGGCAGATTCTCTCCAGGCCGTCGGAAATGTATTGTGTCTGGACACCTTTGGCATCCGTGACTGACAGCACCATGCCACTACTGCCGTCGTCAGGAATGGCGTAACTGTTGTAGCGGACTGCTTCCTGGTCGGTGTCAATCGCTGTTGCGGCTTTGACCAATCTGCCCAATGCATCGTATTGGAAGACATCCTGGATACCAGCATCATCCGTCTGTCCTGTAACCTTGCCAGACGACAGGGAATGGACGGTCACATATTTGGCCGAAACGCCGTCAAAGCTGGCCGTATTGAGTGTCTTTTTCAATTCGCCGCTATTGAGATACTCGTAGGCAAATGTCTGGGTTGTGGCGTTGTCTTTCGAGGATAGCCATGTTTTTTGTTCTTGGACACGTCCATGATCGCGGGAGTCTGGCTGGTTGACATACGTATACTCGGCAGTGGTCAGCGAAGTGTCCCCCTCAAGAGTGGCGCGCGATGATTGCAGAACAAATGTCTGCACTGTCGCATTGCTTGAGGTAGGAAGCTCCGAATAACCAAATTTCTCTGTTCTGGTCGGTGCAGCAAAGGACGTCTCCGCCGGGGTCACTGTTTCCGTTTTCAAGTACCGTTGGAAACCATGAGGGTCAGCCGGGAAATCTGCCTCTCCATCTGCGGTGTAGTATGTGCGAGTGGTAATCAAGCCATCCGGTTTGATCTCCGAAGTAGGATTGCCCCATTCGTCAAACTCGGTGGTTGTTGTTTCTGTTCGACTGGAGGCAGTTGTGTCCGCATAAGTGATCGCAACCGTTCTTGGTAGCAAGTATTGCGCAGGCTGATCGTCAAATGCTGTATTCGGAGTCGCATGATATGTGATGTCCTGGGTAGTCTTTTTCGTGCTCAGTTGTTCCACGATCTTGGTGGTCAAGTGGAACTTATTGTAAGTATAGGTAGTGGTTGCTCCACCCTCCAGCTGCGCCATGGATGTGTACTGGTATTCCGCAGGCACCTGGTACAGGTTATCCCCGGTATCACTCCACTGCCGTGCTCCTCCACAACCCAGGAAGTTATATGAGGAGTAGCTGTAGGTAGTCTTGATGGCTGGCTGCTGACGGCCTGGACGCGCCACATGAGACACCACGTATGGAATACTCGTAAAAGGCGCCCCAGAGGGCAGCTGATGACCATCTTGCTTGTAATTGACCTCTTCAACCAAGCCAGTAGGGCTTGTCACCTGTGAGACACACACAAATCCGTTGCTGAGGGAGTTGTACGAAAACTGCCACGGGGGCGTGTCATCGTCCAGCGGCAGTTTAAGCTGGGTTAATTGCGCATTACGCCGGATAAGCGTGAAGATGCTGGCCGCGGTAGTTCCAGGCGCCTTGGTGATGGTTACCTGCGCATCGGAATACTGAACTTCTAGCAAAACATCATCACCGTCTTGGATCTTGCTCAGTCGTGGCTGTTCACCATTGCGGGTCCACTCCAGACTGAGTGAGCGACCGTTTGCGCCGTAGATGGTGATTGGAACCGATTGGTTGTAAGTGTTGTTGAAACCGGAGAGAATCTCTACCTGGCCTGATTTGTAGGCCACCTCATAAGTAGATCCTGCTGACGATCCCGTTCTTTTTGCCTGGAAGCTCTTGAGCTTCTGGTCCTGGATGAAAAAGGTACTGGTCGTCTCAGTGGCCTGGAAGTTTTCCCCCGTCGAGAGCAACAGAGTCTTGCCTTGGCGATGGTTGTAGGAGGGTAGATTAAAGGACCAGCCAGTACCCAACCCGATATCTTTGGTGTTGAGGGGATTGTAGCTCAAAGATAGTTTGAGTGACGGACAGTTGCGAGTCTCCGATGGCGCATCAAAGAGTTGAATACTGACGGTGTATTGTCCAGTACGAGGATCAACTCCTTTCTGCAGAAAACTTTGGAAATTGAAACTCTGGGAGTAGAGGTCGCTAGGATTCGAAGACAAGATGGGCTGTCTTCTTATATCTTAAAAAAAAACTGAAATTCTGGCAACAGAAGAATTGTGGACAAGATAAGGGAATGAGCATTGGCACTTGAACAAGATTCAGGAGCAGTGATCAGCTTCCTATATATACATGAACTTCTAGTATATGCCTGCGTCTTTTTACCCTACCAGCAAAGAGTAGGAGCACAATGACTGACCTATTGATGCATCAATCGATGCTGTCTTCGTCACCTCCAAGCTGCTAAAGCAGGTCTCTACACTACACATGCATGTCTTACTGGTGGAACCTGATATAGAGCGTTCATCCGTCTGCGAGTTGTACTTTGCCAACTCAAGTTGATCTAGCACGTCAAGTAGGCCTCACTCAAATCCCGCATCTCATTCTAATGATGGCAATATAGCATACAACTATTACGACATCGTACATGCTAAGCCATCAAACTCCCAGAAGTATTACAGTATTATTACATGTCTGTCGGACTCTCCGAAATGATCTTGCAGTGGTGGAGGGCTGAGACTGCTAAGAAGACTACTAGTACTAAGGGTTTCTCACATTGTTCGGGTTTGCCAGCTGAGTTTCAGCTCGGGAATATATTCCGAGAAGGATCCAAAGAGGATGATTGGATACTAAGTAGTAACTAAGTACTTAAACTAACTATGACACATTAGAGGGGTTGAGAAGTGAGTCTAGACAATACTAAGAGGATCGTTATTATATTAAGGTTACATTAGATGGATCTGCCCTCTAACGCTTATGGAAGGTGGAAGACGCGTCAAGGTGCACCTGATATTCGCATATAATGAAACTATAGGGCCTTATCGATCGCTTGGACCCGGGTCGCACGGCACGAGTCACTGCATCTGTCCTGATAATAGCTCGCAGGATTGCTGCAACCTTAAGACAACCAAATCCCGGACATGGTGATCCCTTGAGGAGAACTCTGTTAGTTCAGTTGGTCCAGATTCATTGGGTGGAATGAAACGGGGCAATATTCCTGAAAGAATGCCTGCGTTATGGCGAGCCTACCCCGCCCTGCTGGTGCTGTGGTGATCCGAAATTATCCAGTAGCCCGCCCGACTAATCACTAGTTTGTATCAGCTTGGTACCGCTCCGGATTGAATCGTGGCATCTTGCTGTGTAACTAGTCGGTCTACTAAACGTGCGGTGTTGCGGACCCCTGCTAGTTAGAGCACTAGTGAGGGGGACACGCTGGGCATAATAATACCGATGCCAAACGAAGAAGAAATGCAGCAACCCTAGTGGTCTACTACTAGCTCAGTACTATCTGGCTCTTCGCAGACGGGGTTGTGTAAATACAACTTGAAGATTGGTTGATGGTTACTGGTTGGTCACTTCATGCGCTTAGCAGTCACATTACAATGGCTATGAAATCAGTTCTCGAGTTAATTGTGTCTGGCGATTGTCGCCAAAATCAGGGCCCAGACTTTAACTGATAGGTTCTGCTCGCCTTGACAATAGATAAAGTGCTCCCCGATCAAGCAGACTGCATAAGGGTGGCAAAAGTTCAACATTCAACATGCATATGCGTCCAGGGCGCAGCTGAACCGGCCGATGTACTATGCTAGAGAAATCCTCGGGCCCGTCAGACTTGGTGGACCCACTATGGAGTGAGCTGAATGCTCATTCTATACTATCTTTGCATTGGAACCTGCAAAGTGGCCAACGATCGACGAGACAGGATCTCCATTGGGCAAGGGGCCCCTAATGATTACACAAGATATCTAAGTAAAAAAGTCAAGTCTCATCAAATAAATCAAATCCCGAAGAGCCTGTGTGATTCACAGCTGATATCGGAACAATGGTGTTCTCTTCAATGTATACAACCGAGATGGTGGCCATCACCTACTGCTTTGGTCGCTTGGGAAATCTATAATAACCCTTAAGAAACATATTTCTCTTTCTTTTCAGAGGTCTTTTCTACTCACATCATTCATCTCAGTTAACATTGATCTACTGTTTCATCATGGGTTCTACATCCGTCTCCTGGGAGGTTACCTCATTCGAAGTCCAGGCCACTACACCCAACGCCACGAGTGATGCGCTCTACGCCAATGGCAACATGCAGATTCCTGTGATTGTTGCTATCAGCGTGATTGATCCAGACACAAACACTGCCTATGAGCTGAATGATTCCGAGCTCGAGACAATCAAACTCATCGACTATGACGACCTTCCCACGGAAATATCAGGATCGTGGAGCTATTCAGTCACAGAAAACGAATTCGAACATGGGTTGCCATCTACTAAAAAGACCGTCCAGCCTGACCTATCTCTTGCGGCTGGGGGTCTTCAGAAAAAGCGTTACTGGGTTACGACGACGAAGGTCGAAAACAAGAGAATCGGCGCTAGCATCAAACAGTCCGATGGTACGATTGTCCATACCGGGGGTGGAACCTTTGATTCCAAAATCACTCTCGTGGGTACGAACCCAGTTACATACAAGGTGGACGATCTCAACTTTGAGCAGCAGGAGGAAAATATAACGCAAGATTGGCCAGACGAGAGCGGCAGATGGACACAACGGAACTTTTATCTGACCACCACGAAGTACGAACTCCGAAAAGCAGACTTCCAAGGCTATAGTCTGGGCACAGATGACCCCGCCTTAGATCATGCAACCGCTTGGTTCAACACTGCTGGGTACTTCCATATCTTCTACTATTGGCCGATGGGATTAGAAGAAACGCGAACAGTGGGGTTTGGTTCTTATACGGCTGAGGTCACCATAAATCAGAAAAGCAACGCCCTGTGTGTCACCAATATGCTTCTCTCGCCTAGTGCAACTTGGCCGGCCTCTACGATTTGGGAGGGTCGATTTACGTTCTATGATAAATTTGGAAACCCTGGCACTTTTTGGTTAGGCTATGACGGCTATCTCCTCACCCCAGAAATCTTGGAACACAGATATACCATAGAAGACTGATTTCTACTTCAGGTGAGGGAAGAAGATCAGTGATAATTGTGACCTTCTCATGCTTCACTTAGAATGACTATCTATAGTATCGTTACACTTTTGAGAGAATTCATGTGTCCCTACCGTAGGAAAAGAGGGTTTCAGAAAAGCTGAAATATAATCGATACCCGTGGCCAAACACCTGGTAATGTGGTATATCATATTAAACAAACCTTGACACTCGATACATATGACTAGAGAGGCTTTCTAAACATGGATGGGGACTTGATTGCTATACTAAGCCGTATGTCAGAAAAGGCTGTCAGATATTCTGCTGATATACAGCTCAGCTTTGGAAGACTTGCTGTCCATGCGTACATAGAGAAGTCCCTGCTAAACTACTGACAGAGATACTAGGCTCTAAATTATTACCGATAACAGTAAATTAGATCAATACTATTTCTTGTATACTGGATGGATGACTCGAAGGGAGAAGAAAATTAGCGGAATGTCTTTAGCTTCTATTTCGCTCTTCATTCTAAATGCTCAAGAGTCCCACTTGTCACTATCCAACAGTGATTTTCCAAAAAGCTTCTCGGTGATGTGATCATACGACACCTCCAGAATTGAGGGAAAATTTGCTGCCCTAGCACATACTACTACAGTAGCTGTTAGTAGTCACGTGATACATTGTTTCGTCCAGTGGAATTTCCTTTTTGAGTAGTTCCGCCTTCGCCTCAGCTCCAATTGCTCATTCGTTGTGGATCAACTCAATGCTTCGGAAAGTATTGTCTTCGTTGAATCAATCATCTGTATCTTTCCAGATCCTTTCTGGCCTCCATCTGGAGGTCAACTAACAGTACTCAACCTATGAGATTCCCGCCTGCGCAGAGCATCTTATCCTCGCGGGCGATATCGGACGCTTAACGGACTATGAAGATTACCGCAACTTCTTACAGAAACTGACTGATCGATTCAAGTTGGTGTTTCTCGCACTCGGGAATTATGAGCTTTATAATGGGACGTTTGAAACGGGAATAGAAAGAGCAAAACGCCTTGGGCAGGATCCTGCACTTACTGGACGGCTGATCGTCCATCAGAAACGATACGATGTCCCAGGTTCTAACGTTAGTATCCTTGGCTGCACGCTTTGGTCAAAGATATCCCAGGAATTGGCCGATATTGTTCACAACTCAAAGATTTCCAAAGGATTGCAGACTGGTCAGTTGATGACCATAATGCACGCCATGGTTCTGCTTATTCAGGAGATACATTCAATACAACAGGATAATGAAGCAGCAGGGAAGCGCAGTAGGCAACGGTCTCTCCTTGTTGTGACGCACCATGCGCCTTTGCTTCAGGGGACCTCTAGCCCCAAGCATGCTCAGAGTCCTTGGAGTGTTGCCTTTGCAACTGGAGTGAAAGTCTGGGTGTTTGGACATACCCATTACACTACTGATTTCATCGAGAAGGGGGTAAGAGTCGTGAGCAATCAACGGGGTAATGTGCTGCCTTGGAGTTATCCGAAAGCACAGAGCGGGTTTGATGTGAGGAAGGTCATACAGCTATGATAAAGTCTCATGCTCTGTCTGTAGCCTCCAGGCATGTCAGAAAATCCAGTATCAATCGACCTATTGTTCCCAATTACAAATGCCCCACTACTAGTAGCCAGAAAGCCCAGCCCAAGATTGATAACGGCAGAGAGTAAAATTACTATGCAGAACTTATATATTGATCAGTCGGTGGAGTGCATTGGCTGATGAGAAGATGGGCTTCCACGCAAGTCATGACATATCGGCACAATATGCTTGGCCATTATGAATGGAGGCCCGGGTAGAACTGGCCTTGGCCATAGTTGGTTGAGATTGATTGTTTGATGTCGTTGAATTAAGAGGCATTATTGCGTCAATAAAACCAGCATACCAGCCACCATCGGAATGAGTGTGGTAGCAAGTGTGTCGGGGCTTACCCCAGGTTGTGGGGTCGAATCTAACCCCGCGGCGGGTACATTGGAGCGATCGGCTATACAAACATTCCATCAAGTCATCATAAGTTGATATGCATCTTAGTGAGACCAACTAATGTACCATGGACCGCATAGAACAACAATCGAAGACAATGCAACCATAAGGCAGGCGACCATGGATCCTGCCCTGCTTTTACGAAGGCTCAACCAATGCGAACCGGTTAAACTTCATAATGACTTCACCCAGCCAAAACCACGCAATCACAACGCTTCGAGACCAACGAGGGTGAGGCTGGGAGCAACAGCCGCCTGTGAGTAAAGCCCATCATGCGGATAAGTCCCATCGTCATCATCTCATCATTAACGCCACTTTTGGACCATATATCATACCGGGCCCGTGCCCCAGTTCGCTTCTGTCGTTGGTTTCAGGATACGTCGATCTGAATGTAACCATCTCAACTAAAGTCCATCTAGGCAACTGTACTACCATCTGGTACGCTTGCTGTTTTTCCTTGGTTGCGGGTGCAGATGTACTCGATTGCCGTGGAGATGGCCAACAGTCTTAGCCGGATTATCAACTAATAGTTTTTACAGAAAGTATACAACCACCACCATGACCTCAAGAGATTCGAATCCCGTCTCGCGCCTTGCGGAAGCTGCCAAGGAGAAGGTTGCGCCCAGTACCTCCAAAGCCAAGGATCCCAGTGCAAACTGGACCCCGGAGGAGATGTTTGAAACAACATTGGATAGGAACGGCAACCCAGTGCCCAATGATTCCTATATTGACGTGGAAAATATGAGAAAAGGACGACAAGGCCCGGACGAAGGAGATGTCTTTGCGGCCGCAAATGAGGACTTCGACTAAGTCAAGCCCGGTGGGAATGATGACGCTGGGAGGCGTCCATAGAGGGAGCAACGCGGCTATATGATATGAGACCATGCGGAATGTTCGATGCTGTCAAGTCACTCTTTGCAGGACAAGAGCAGTGGATGCTGAGACATGAGTGCATGCAATGTGTAAATGTGGATAGTGCTAGTAATTTCCCGGTGGTACACTCCTTGACCACCGGACCAACCGAAACAATCAGATTGTATGCAATCGAGACATATCCTTGCATCCTCGGCGGTCTGTGTCTCTCCGAACACAGCAGTAGTCTTTCTTATCGTGAGCTCGTGTCCCTGGCTGTCGGTAGAATTGCCATGGCAACCACCCGCTGCCAGAAGGTCTATGTGCTGCCTCAGGCTGCCTGCTATTCCCGATCGGGAAATCCCCAAACGAGGTCATGGCGATGCGATTCATTCATCTTGAACTCCCCACGATCAAACTTCCCCCCAGTTCTCGGTTGTTGCTTCTGGTCCCTCCTCGATCGCTGCATCTCCCCGTGGACCTTCTTTGAGAGGGGGGAAGTGTGTACTGTCTTCCATCCCCTTACGTACCACTGCATGTTTCTCTCTTTCACCTTCCATCGCAGGAGCTTTCCCGAAACCCCCGACTGCCCGTCTGTTTACCCCATGTCGAGAGTGGAATCCCTCTGTTGTCTAGTGCCGGATGTCAATTGAACTTGCAGACGAACGGTCCGCGCAAGCATATACATTTTGGATATCCTCCTTGTTTAGTTCCCCCTTTGGAGGGCGAGCACTACGCCCATTCTTGGGTCCACTAACCCAGCAGCCACCACCACCACCACCCCCCATACCTTTAATATCAATCCCTCCTCGATAAGAAAAGAGCCCGCCTCTCGGTCCCTACCCATCCGGTGGTACAGTTGCCTGTATGTACCATTGCCTACTTCAACGCCATCGTGAGCACCTCACTCAGTTTGTACAGTTTTTGAGGGATCACGGTCACGAAATGTCCCTGGAACCCCGTTTCTACCACCATATCGGCCACGGCTCCGGGCCTGGCTCCCAATCCTCCGCCTCGTCCTCCGGGATCTCCGCGATAACCGGCATCACCAGTCCCTCGGCCCATTCGATGACTGCCTCCGCCGCTACCTTACGATCAACCGCGTCCAGTCCGTCGCTGCGCGCACGCGAGGGCGTGGCCGTCTCTGCCCACCACCGAGTCGACAGCATGTCTAGTCCTTCCGGCGGCGGCAACGTGCGCGTTGTCGTCCGTGTGAGAAAGTTCCTTCCCAGAGGTACGTCTAGCCGAACGGTAAAGAATATTATGGATGGAAGCTGATAGCCATCCCATACTTGGGAGCATAGAGATCAACCGCAATGCTGAATGTCTGATCAGCATGGATCCGCATACGCAGACGACCAAACTTCGAGCGCCCCAGATAAGCCCGGAAGACGAAGGGAAGCCTAAATCGCAGGCGCGCGGAAAGGTGTTGGAGGATAAATCATTTGTCTTTGACAATTCTTTCTGGTCGCATAACGAACGGGACCCCCACTACGCCCACCAGGAAGACGTCTACAACTGTTTAGGAGAAGAGTTCTTGGACCACAACTTTGAAGGATACCACACCTGCATATTCGCCTATGGCCAGACGGGTTCTGGCAAGAGTTATACCATGATGGGCACACCGGAAGCGCCTGGATTGATCCCTCGGACCTGTGAAGATCTGTTCCAACGTATCGAAGGCGCCGAATCTCCGGATATCAGTTTCAACGTGCGAGTCTCCTACTTTGAAGTCTACAATGAGCATGTGCGCGATTTGCTTGTCCCTCGGAGCGACCCGCCGCACTACCTTCGTATTCGGGAGTCCCCGTTGGAAGGCCCGTACGTCAAGGACCTAACAGAGGTGACGGTCAAGAGCTTCGACGAGCTTATGAAGTTCATGCGCAAGGGAGATGTGTCGCGCACTGTGGCTAGCACTAAGATGAACGATACGTCGTCCCGGTCACACGCAGTGTTTACTATTACTCTGAAGCAGATCCACCACGACCTTTCGACCGATGAAACCACTGAGCGCACGGCACGAATACGTCTCGTTGATCTGGCAGGTTCGGAACGAGCCAAGTCCACGGAAGCAACCGGTCAACGACTGCGCGAGGGGTCCAACATCAACAAGTCCTTGACCACACTGGGCCGAGTCATTGCCGCACTGGCAGATCCCAAGCCGGGTCGCGGAGGCAAACGCAAGGGCAAGGATGTGGTCCCGTATCGCGACTCGATCCTGACCTGGCTGCTGAAAGATAGTCTTGGGGGCAACTCGAAGACGGCGATGATAGCATGTATTTCTCCCAGTGACTACGAGGAAACGCTCTCCACCCTACGATACGCAGACCAGGCCAAGCGCATCCGAACACGCGCCCGAGTTAACCAGGACCACCTCTCCGCCGCCGAACGTGATAAACAAATCGCCGAAATGGCGGAAACGATCCGCACGCTTCAGCTGAGTGTCAGCCTGGCTGCAGCCAACCGACGAGAGAATGAGATGCAGAACGAGCGCCTCGAAGATTATCAGCAAAAGGTGGAGAAGCTCCAGCGACTAATGGAGGAGACGAAGATGGTGAGTGAGTGTAAGATCCGGCAGCTGCAGACGGAGAACGAGGCCCTGCGGAATCACCTCAAGCTGGCCTTGGACAGTATCCGGAACCCGATCCCTCCGGTGGTGGTGCATAAGCGCCGGAGTGGCTTATACAGTGTGAATGAGAACGATGGCTCCCCGTCCAATCGCAAGCGGCTCAGCCGTGCCCGATCGCCTCCGTCCGACGTCGAGCCCGAACCCGAGCCGGACCTCATTTGGGAAGATGAAGACACGATGCAAAGCGAGGCCAGTCATGTTGAGGCGCAGGAAATGCAGACGCATATGGAGAACCTTCTGGACGATCTAAGCATGTTCAAGCGCAAGATAGCGACGGACCACGAACGATTCCGACCCAGCTGGAAGCCTGAAGGACGAAAGCGACGACGAGCGCTGGGCAATGTTTGGGTCAACAATCGATAAATGGACAACTTCGTGAATAGAATGGAATGGGACTGGGCTGGGTAGCGCGGGTGGCTTTGTGATTATGGCGTTTGGATGGATTACTTTGGATGCACATAATTGGAGACGCTGGTTTGATTTGAACTGCGTCTCGCTGCGATGATATCTTTGCTGCTTTTCTTCCTTCTTCTCTTCTGGCCTTTAGCTTTTACTTTCCTGGCACGATGACATGATTGTATGGTAGGATGACAAGGATGCTTGATGCCCGAATACCATGAAACCTTGTGATTAGTGGATGCACATCGGCTGTGGCTTGATCGAATGTCTGCCCAGCTCTGACTCAGGTACCTGCTATAGTTAGTATACCTTGATAGATACATGAAGGTGTCAGTTATAAATAAATAGGTGAATGTTCTGTAAAGCCATTGCTAGTTATCGACGGTGAGATCCGGTTTCACAGCCCTGATGACTCCACTCCCAACCACCACAGATACCTTTTACAAGTGAGGTGAAGTAACTCAGTGGAATGCTTCTCCTAGAGATACTCCTCACATTGGGAACCACCGTGGTGCAATACGTGGGAATTCTCGTGGTGGTAACAGCAGCTTATGTGAAGCAGCAGCAGCAGCAAAGCGTGAGTCAACGACGGGAACGGGTTTCATCGCCGGCTCCCCCCACAACATCCACTTCTTCTTCCACTTCCTCCTCCGCCGAAAAAGTCTCCAATGCCCCTCCCGATCGCCTCGGTACTCCCCCTCCTTCCTTCGACTACACATCACCTTTCATAATGGCGACCCCCGTTGAGTCCTCACAACCCCTGGCTGAAATGCAATCCCAGCAATCCTCATCATCATCCCCAGGCGCTGCCGCCGGCGCCAACGCCTCCGCTAAGCCCGCTAAACCGCAGCAATCACAGCCCGCCAAGCAACAACCACAACAGCAACAATCACAATCTAAAGGAAAGGATGCTGCCGCCGCTGGTGGAGACGGCGCCGCGCTCTCGCCCGCCGAATTGAAGAAGAAAGCCAAAGCCGAGAAGGCCGCCCGTCGCGCTCGCGAACGCGCCGAACGTGAACAGTCCGGTGGTGGTGCCGGTGGTGCTGCGCCCGTCGGGGGTCAGTCGGCTGCTGGTGGAAAGAAGGGCGCGTCGGGTCCCGGTGGTGCTGGGGCTGGTGGGAAAGATGCCTCTGGTGCTGCGACGCCGCAGAAGGGTGGTCATCAGAAGCAGCAGCCTCGTCGCGGTTCGGCGCAGGCGACGGGCCAGCCGAGTGCGGCGGAGTTGAAGAAGAAGCAGGAGGAGAAAAATGTTTCGGTCTTTGGACACTTGTACGGTCAGCAGCGCAGGACTACGATTGCTGGCGCTGGAAAGGAGGTGCATCCGGCGGTTTTGGCGCTGGGTATGCAGATGAGAGACTATGTGGTTTGTGGTAGTAGTGCTAGATGTGTTGCTACGTTGTTGGCTTTCAAGAGGGTATATCTTTCTCTATCTTGGTGCTGGCTGTGTGCTGTGTGCTGTGATGTGTTAACGTTTGTCAGGTCATCGAAGCTTATACTACCCCCCTGGGCACCTCGCTCGCCCGCCACTTGACTACCCACCTCTCTCACCAGATTACCTACCTCTCCACGTGTCGTCCCTTGTCTATCAGTCAGGGTAACGCTATCCGCGCCCTCAAGCTCGCCATCTCCTCCATCGATCCGTCCGTCCCCGAAGCTACCGCCAAGGCCTCGCTGTGCGATTTCATCGACAGCTTCATCCGCGAGAAGATCACCGTCGCCGACCAGGTCATTGCCGGCAGCGCAGCACAGAAGATTCAGGATGGAGACGTGATCGTGACATTTGCAGGCAGCTCGATCGTGAAGCAGACGCTGTTGGCGGCACACAAGGAGGGCAAGCAATTCCGCGTCTCCATCATCGACTCGCGGCCACTGTTCGAGGGTAAGAACCTGGCGCGCACGCTCGCCAACGCCGGTCTGGACGTGCAATACTCCCTCATGAACGGCATCAGCCACGCCATCAAAGACGCTACCAAGGTTTTCCTGGGCGCCCACGCCATGACCAGTAACGGTCGCCTGTACTCGCGCGTCGGCACCGCGCTAGTCGCCATGTCGGCCAAGGAGCGCGCCGGCGGGGTTGAAGTTCCTGTCATCGTGTGCTGCGAAACAGTCAAGTTCACGGACCGCGTTGCGCTGGACAGTATCGTCGTGAACGAGATTGCAGACGCCGACGAGCTGGTGACGGTCGAGCCGGTGCAGCAGCTGACCGGGTTGCCGGATCCCGCAGCGCAGCCGGCCGTAGAGCCCAAGAAGGGCGGCAAGGCTAGCAGCGCGCCGGTCGAGACGAGCACGGCGGCACAGAGCAAGTCGTCGCCGCTGGAGGACTGGAAGGAGTCGGCGAATCTGCAGCTGCTGAATATCATGTACGATGTGACGCCGGCGGAATATGTGGATATGGTGGTGACGGAGATGGGCAGTTTGCCGCCGAGTGCAGTACCTATAGTGCATCGGATGAGTACGAATATGTAGGTTTTTATCTTGGTTATTAGGTAGATAATGTTAGCATTATGTTTCGTGACTGGATGTATGCAGTAGTTGTGGAAAGCGGTGATTCCACTTCCATGCCGTAAATGCTTATCGCAACACCACCTCCCAAACACAATTCACAACAAACTACCAACTACCAATTACCAACACAATACATCTCTACCAATCCACAATAACAACATCAACCATAAACCAGACACCAGCTAACACACTCAACTCACCCTTCCCATCACTCCAACACCAAGCCACATCCTCCCTCCACAATGGTACACCCCTCCCTAACACCCTCTCTTCCCTCCATCCCAATTTATCCCCTCACCACCCTCACCACCAATCCCCCTCCCCCAAACACCCCAATTATCCAACCCACCAACTAACCAAGTGTGCCAAAAAAACAGAGCAAAGACTCCACCCCCACTCACCTCCACATGCACCACCCCCGACTCGCCGATTACTTCGAAGACTTCACGCGCCCACACCACACCTCTCCCTCTTCCTCTCCCTACACATCCACCACAACCCAAGCCTTCGCAGCAACAACAGCAGCAGCAGCAGCAGCAGCAGCCACCGGCGGCGGCACCGGCACCTCCCCGACCCTCACGCCCTCCTTCCTCCCCATCGAAGACATCTACATCCCGCCGCAGTATCAGCCCCCCAACCCGGAGGACGAAGACGATGTGGTTCCGGATCAACACGCCGCGTTTGGGATTGCGAGGGCCATGGCGTTGCAGGGAAGGAGGGGGGAGGGGGCGTGGAGGGATTTGGGATTGGAGGGGTTGGTTAGGGGGGATGGGTCGGGAGAGGCTGCAGGGAAGGTGAGGGTTAGGGGGGAGGGGAGGTTGATGGGGGGAAGAGGAGGGTGGTTTGTTTGAGGTGATCTTTCTTTTCCACTATCGAGAGGTAGGATGGGATGCATGGGAAGATGGTGTTATGGTTCTTGTTATGGCTAGGCTAGGCTAGGCTAGGCTAGGCTAGGTTGTTATACCCTGCGTTTGTTGTGTTTTGTTTTTTCTATGGGTATCGGAGGAGTCTTCGTGGAATCATCATTATCATGTATACTACTGCTGCTGCTATGCTGCTATGCTGCTATGCTGCGCTGCCGCTATATCCGTATTATGTCTACCCGGGCCCGTTCATACAATTTATGGCTGACCTGCTTCTGCTCCCTCTCGTCGTCTTCTATCCGTCGTGGCTGGATCGCCATCTGTGCGTATGTGCCTGCGCCGCGGCGTTTGGAGAGCGTGCCGGGGTTAATCACTGTTACGCTGTCCACTACCTGTCTGGTTATTAGCATTATCCATAGATTTATACGAATTACTGGGTGTGGGGGCTGACCTTAACAAATGGCGGCAGCATGCTCGGCGTTATCAACACATCCGGCCGCACATTCCACCACTCGCCCAGCTTCGAATAGCTCACATCGACCATTCCCCCCGTTGCAAGGCCGGTCCCCGCTCGTGGCAGCATGTCTCTGCTCGATGTCGGGAACATCGGCTGGAAGTGTCGCTGCTCGATCATGTACTTGGGCAGTCTTGTCAGGAGGTTCCCCTCCGTTGGTTTGCCGTGGAGTACCTCCTCGCGGCGTAGCTCGTACAGGACGTCGTGTGAGCACATCCCAATGACTGTCTCGTTCAATGACAGCGTCACCGGGTTCGACACCATGCGAACCTGCTTCGGCAGTCCCAGCTCCTTCTTGGGTAGCTGCTCCTGTGGCCAGGAGACGTGCTTGCTGACTGCGTCGCGGACGGACGGTACCAGCACAATGGTGATGCTGGGCACGGTTGCTACGAGTCTCTGTAGCGGGGCTGAGATGCAGTGCCGGAATACTGTAGTCAGCGTCACCGTGTCCGGGTCCACGCCGTTGATCTCGGGCAGGTCGAAATCCCCCGAGGCCAGCAGGGGATGCTCGATGTCTAGGAATGGCCCCAGCAGGACAAGGCCGTCCGCATAGCTGTCCGCTGCCTTGCGGCAGATCTCTTTCAGTGGCTCGTAGTCGAGGTTGTCGTCTGCCGTGTAGGGACCGGCAGCAACGAGAACGTTCAAGGGCGCTGGGCCAGCGTTTTCGAGTCTCTGGTTGATGGTTTCGAGGTTGACGACTGACGATGCGGCCGGTGGGAGAAGGGGTGTGGAAAGGACCTCTTTGACGGAGAAGTAGTTGCCGGACGCATTGATGCCGCGCAGCGCCACGATCTGGCCCGGGAAGAAGTTGGCTGAGGGCACAGATTCGAGTTTCAATGGAACCCGGATTCCTGCTCCTGTACGTCGGGACGTTTCGAGCACGAGTGACGCCGTGTTGAGTTTTCCTTCCATACTGTCGGATGCGATGCGGCCGACGGCCACGATCTCGCTGGTACTCTGCGTAGCGGCGCTGCCGAATGTGATATCGTCGCTGCCGTACTGTTTCTCAAACAATGCCATGAATTCGTCGATGCGGTCGTCCAAGATCTCCGATGCCTCGGCCAGTCGCATAGCCATAGGCTTGTATCCGAACTTCTTCAAATCTGTGTTTGCCGTCGGTCGTATGCGGGCTTCGGAGTATGGTGCGATAGGGGCCTCTGCTTGTGGGAGATGGGAGTTGATGGTTTCGATGGTTTCGCCTGCATTTTGACGCTGGGAAAAGGGGATGGATCTGCTTCGTCAGTTGTGGGCTTTTTACGGTGATTCGCGCACGTACTGTAGCCCATCACCGTTTGTCTGTTTCACACTGGTACTCATCGGAGATCCATTGTGTTCGGTTCTCCCGATCTTGGAGATTGATGGCGAAGCAAAGTCGGATTTCCGCTTCGCTGAACCGGCATTGCTCCGACCCGAAGCACCTGGTGTTAATCCATCAAGCCTGAATCATTAGCTTTTGTCCATCGATCCTTTCATACTCAACGTACATGCCAAACACATCTGACGTAGCAGCGCGCGGGGTGGCCGGCACTGCTGGTTTCCTCTCCATCTGTCGGCCTGCTTTGCCGCGGGCGTCTCGCTCCAATGTATCCTGGACATCTTTCTTGAACAGTCGCACGGTACCCAGGTCCATCTTCAGCTCATCTGGGCCCATCTTCAGACAATAAGACTCCCATTTGTAGAAGAGCTCCTGCGCGGAGATGGAATGGATGCGCAGGATTGACTGCAATTCGGTAAGGACATCCTTGGGTAGACCATCTGGAGCAGCGGCAGCAAAGAGCTCATTGAGCTCTGCGACAGAGTCCTCCATGTTGACTGGAACCTTGGCTTATTGATGAGTTTGGATAGTAACCAATATGGCTCTCTATCGGAACTGCGATGACGCGCGACGCGTGAGACGCGCAAATTGGTTGATGTGACCGCCTGCCGAAATGAGACCGCAGCACGACCCGCGGAACCACGTATTCTTCGACTGCAATTGATTAATCAATCGGAGGTTTGCAGCTGACGATCGGTGGGCCTGCCGATCAACACTCCGCCCTGCTCAATCTTACGGCGTGAAAAAGGACACCCGGGAAGCTGCTTGCCGTTCTCCCCCTTTATTATATTCGCTGATGTCTTGCGATTTATAAAGTTGGTGCCCTCAGACAAGGCAGACACTTACACTACAATCATCTACATTCGATTCAACAGATCCAAGCAAGCTCTTCATCATGAGCGCTCCCTCTAACCCCCCGGCCGCTGCGCCCGCCGACAATACTCCTGCTGTCGATGCCTCACAGACCACCCCTTCTGACCCGTCACCTTCAAATTCTGCTGAGATCGCAGCTACCCCTGAGACCACCACTAAACCCGCACAATCCACCGATTTAGCCAAGCAAATCGAGGAGTTCGAATCGCAATTGCCCTTGTCCGCCGCCGACGGTCTCATCCAGAAGCCCTTTCCCCGCCCCCTTGAATCGGCCAAGCCGACACCCCCGGCCGAGCTCACCTCCGATCAGCAAGCAAAATACAAGGATGTCCTGAAGGCTGTCTCAGAATGGACCACGGTTCCGACAACGTCTGCTAAGAATTCTCCTACCGAGCCTATTACCGACGATGAGCGCATGTTCCTGACCCGCGAGTGCCTGTTGCGGTACCTGCGCGCAACCAAATGGAATGTCTCCGAGGCAATCGCGCGCCTTCAGCGCACGCTCACCTGGCGCCGCGAGTACGGCGTTGAAAAGCTCACAGCCGAATACATCTCTGTTGAGAACGAGACGGGCAAGCAGGTCATTCTGGGATATGACATTCACGGGCGCCCATGCCTGTACCTGCTGCCATCAAACCAGAACACGGAAACGAGCGACCGCCAGATCCAGCACCTGGTCTTTATGCTTGAGCGCGTTATTGACCTCATGGGCCCGGACCAGGAGACGCTGGCACTGATCGTCAACTACAAGGAGACGAAGTCGGGTCAGAACGCGAGTATCGGCCAGGCCAAGCAGACCCTCAACTTTCTACAGAACCACTACCCAGAGAGAATGGGCCGCGCCCTTGTAATCAACAGTGAGTTATCCCTATATCATGCAAACGATAGTCTCTGACCGCATTCAGTGCCTTTCATGATCCTTGGTTTCTTCAAGATCATCACGCCGTTCATCGACCCATTGACTCGCCAAAAGCTAAAATTCAACGAGGATCTGGGTCAGCACGTGCCTCCAGGCCAGTTGATGAAGTCCATGGGTGGTGAGGTCGAGTTCCGGTACGACCATTCGATCTACTGGCCGACGCTCAACAAACTTGCCGACCAGCGCCGAGCAGCATACAAGGAGCGGTGGATCCAGGGCGGGAAACGTGTGGGTGAGATTGAGAACTATCTGAAGACGGGCACCAGCCCGAGTCTCTCTCAGACGGAGGGAGCGAATGGTGAAGCGCAGCCTACAGCATGAAACTTCCCATCTTGTGCGACTTCCGGGTAAAATGGTCTTTCATTGTTCTTCGAGCGTTGGCGATTGCATGGCTGTGGCATAAAGCATAGATACGCCTTTATTATTCTTTGGCATCGTTTTCTTCAAGCTCTCGGTTAGACTTATGGTGTAATTAGACACATGGCCCAATTATCCTCAGCAACTTTCTCTTGGTATCACACTGTTGCGTAACAACGTCTATGAGGCATTGATGTCGGCGTAAGTAAAGACCGGAGCTAGTCAAGCAAGCGACTCGAAGCTTTCTCCGCAGTGGCCTGTCACGTGTGGGGATGGCGGGGCAGTGTCTGCCTCAGGCATGTATCCCACCACCTCCCACCACTCAAGTTCTCAACGAAGCTGCAGCAATACATATGCTGGATATGGAATGCTGCGGCATGTAGTAAACATAAACACACCCTGAATATGACACACTGCACATATTCAGCCTGTCAGAATGTCTGTTTGGAATTTTGACACCTCAATGTCCGCCTTGGATGCCCCTCGTTCCTGGTGCACTCTCTCACCTGCAACTATCCAGGCGACTGGGGTCTTAATTAACTAAGATAGTAGGCAGATTAATTAATCAGGAGATGTGATGCATCATCCTAAGCATCCTGCGCATGATTCGTCGCGCGCTGTCTTCTCAGATGATCCTAGACATTCTCTTTTTTTTAAACATCCCATACTGATCCTCTTCCTCCCCGCCTATCCATATCACTAGGAATACTAATCATATTATCCCAGCGGCACCGGCGGATTATAACCCCTGTCAACTGCATCAAGCCTTGAGCTGCTATTGATCCTACAGGTCTGGGAGATCATTTCCACCCATAGGTTAACTTCGTTGTCTCGTCCATTCTGAATGTCTGGATGTGTTTTGCGGTCCCACGACAGTAGCGGCACTGGGCAATCAAGATGGAGGAAGCTCCCCAGCGGGTGTCCGTAGTCCCCACGGGCAGAATGAGCAGCACTTCCGGGCGGCCGCTTTCAATCACCGACGACACCTCCTCCACCACCACCACCACTACTACCACTACTACCACTACTACTACCACTGCAACGACCACCTCGACCACGTCCACCATCACTGCGCTGACTAGCACGGCTGCTGCTGTTGCTCCTGCTGCTGCTCCTCCTCCTCCTCCTCCTCCTCCTCCTCCTCCTGCTGCTGCCTCTCCTCGGTCCACTCCACCTCAGCCTTACCCTCGCCCGCCTTC